CGGCAAACCGATGTGTCCCTCGTGGGCTTCGAAAATCGACAAAAATCGGATGAGTCGTAAAAAAAGGATTTTTTTAACCAATTTTATAGAGCAGTTTCGGACGAATTTTTTGACGTATAAAACGTTTATAAAACTTATGCGATAGACCTGGTTCTTTTTGGAAAGTTATTTCTCGAAAAATCATGCATGGAATTAGTATTTGATGGGTAGAAGCCATTGGGATTAGAGGAGTATTTAAAACGTTGGCCGTTTATTGGCTGTTTCAGTTTGGACAGAGATCAGCCGTTCACATTCAAGCTGGGAGTTGGCCAAGTTATCAGAGGTTGGGACCAAGGGTTGGTAGATATGTGCGTGGGCGAAAAGAGGAAGCTGACCATACCGCCCGAACTCGGATACGGGGAGAAAGGAGCCGGAAACGTAATTCCTGGAGGTAAGATTGTTCCCTGGTCGGCGTTCCTGCGTCTCTAGTTTTTTGTTATTTCTGCCCTCTATAAGATAGAAATTACTTCCCTCGGTATACACGATATACAGTTGCTTTAATGACCATTCGACATGGCGGAAGCTTGTATGAATGAAAGTTGCAAGTGTACGGCGCGAAAGATTTAACCGAGACAAGTGGAGGTGTACCCTATGATCGTGAGGTAAGGGGTACGAACGATGTTGGTTTCCTTAATAATATTTAAAGTGTATGAGATACGGAATTAAAAAGGTTTTATTACTTCAGAATGAAATCTCTTACTTACCTTCAAACATTGAATCTTGCCACCAAAATTGTTTCTTGCAAAAGGTTTTGAATGGAATATTGAATATAAAATATCAATTGTTCTTTATTTACTAATAATAATTCCAAGGATGGTAATATAATTGGATGACAAAATATAATTTGTTTTGTAATGGAATCTTCATACTGTATGCTGTATCGAAACGAAGATTTTTACGTGCAAAGCTATGTTATATTCTGGAATAATAATAGTAAATACATAAATGAAAAAAGTACAAAATATGAAACACAAACTCTCCATAATTGGAAACGCATTTTAGCCCGTTAATGATCTTCAGCTGCATCGCGATGTTGGTAGAAAAGGATTTCGTTTACGCGGAATTCGGGACTAGTGACGCATGGCAATTGGGTTCAGGTGAAACGAAGAAAAATTTCTATTTACGAAGAAGGTAACCCGACGTTTTCATATCACGGCCTTTTCACATTTAAAATAAATATTTCCGTCCGCTGTACAGCGCAATTTCGCCTTAATACGCGCCAAATTGAACGTTTTCAACGTTTCCTGTCTTCTCGCGAGAGGCAACCATCTCGCGCCTGTCTGCTTGCATTTTAAATAATTACAACAGGAAACGTTAATTACTCGTGAAATTGAATACTGTAATTTCCACACACCTCTTGCCGCGTATGCATCGCGTATTTTGGTCAATTTTCTGCCTCGTTCGCGATGGTTTGGAACTCGTTACATCGACGTTAACGACGGATATGAAAGTCAAATTTATTGGCATCTTTTGCATAAAATTAACCGGGATTCACGGCTCGTCGGAAAAGACTCCTTTGTCACATTCGAAGCTTAATCGCGTCTGAATACGTTAATCGGTGAAGGCAGAAATTTATCGCGCAACAATCGCTTTACTCTCCATAATTATTCCATAATCCATTCGTTGCCAACAAAGTGTATATACATATATGCTTCTTTATATTACAATTCTCAATTTCTCCTCGTGAAAACATGGCGCAAATTTGTATTACCAGGTAATCGAAACGTGACACACGTGTGTGAACCGCATTCGTCTTTATTCTCCAGAAATAAGCGAGATATTAACACTTTGTTGACCGGCAATTTTACATAGAAACTGTGTCATGTCACCGGCTATTATTTTGTAATCCAATCTTCAAAATCACTTTCGCACGCAATATTCTATATCGCCCTGGGTATAATAAATTGAAATAGATAATGCAAGTGCAACGACGAGTTAACTCGTCAACAACGTTTGGACAGGAAAAGACGAGTTAACTCGTCACCGGCCAGCAATGCGTCAAATTTTTAATACTACTCGAAATATTGGACAGTCTAATTTGACCAAACAAATTTCTAATTTCTAGTTTTGATTTGGAACAAATACATATGGCGTGATTTCGAGAAATTGCTATTGTGGAGATACCTTCATTTGCGTCATATTCTCCTGTCACAAACCTGTGAAATTGACCCAAGATTCTGTCAATACCAACAAAAGTTTCGTTCACGATGCATCTTCTTTCACATCATATTCTCCTGATACACAATAGCAAAATTGGTCGAGAAATTGTGGGATAGAGTTTTTGGTTTTGTAGAATTCCTGGAATACGACGTCAGTTGCAGGAATTGTCATCCTTTGAGTACCTCCTGTCATGCCACGTTCTCTTTATACTAGAAGAAACTTTACAAATTGCTCTGAACCACTGAAATACCCGAATAGCGATTATATCTCGAATCTTGTTTCTCTTGCCTTTGTGGATGAAATAGAATGCACGATTCTAGTATTTATTACACCAGTTTGTCCGTTTACGGATTCTCCTCAGGACCAGGCTAACGAGAAATAAGAGTGAGCGTAAAGAGAGGGGAAATTGCAACAGTTTCACGGTGAGGAATTTCAGTTTAATGCTAACTCTTTCCAAATTATCCGTGGGTTCCATCGATTCTCTGAGGGAAACGGACGAGACCGACGGACGAATCGATACAAAGGGGGATCGTTAGTAACGAAATCGGACTAAAAAATGCAATTGCACGGAAATCCAATAAAGCGTCAACCATTAAATCGAGTACTGGCCATCCAGGCTGGCACGGCTGGATCAACAGCGACGCTCGTTCGTTCATCTTTTTTTTCCTTTTTTTCCTTTTTTTTTTTTGCTGAGAACGCTCTCGCGTTAGATAAATCGAAAGTTAGCCCCGAATATGCATATATCCTCGATCGCCTCAACGTTTCACGGAGAGCTTTTATCGGCAGAGAATGAAGTCGACTCGATAATGCTCGGTGGAAATGATTTCGATGATTCCAGATCAACATTGCGTTCGCGTGATAATTCCCTCATGGTATATAGAAATTTCCAATTGGCAAATTTATCTCGCAATGAAATATCGAGAAGTTTATATCCGTCTGGGGCGATTTCGCGAGTCGAAATTCGCGATGAAAACCGCGCAGAAGTTGGCGGTATCGAATTTCGATGCTGCGTTTTTCGCCACGGCTATAGCTTCCCATTTCCAGGGCAATAGATTAAGGAGAACAAAGTGGATAATGTAAACTTGCAACGAGGTGGAATTTTTTCACAGTGTAAACTGCTCGAGGTTTAAATTCAAATTCTCGCGAAATGGAAGAATTTTTAATATTTCAAAGCTCACTGAGTAAACACGCGCCATTTTTCTGGAATAAAATCAGAAACTACGTTAAACGAACCTTTTCCTCGTTATCCTCGAAGTATTTAACAACGATGATTAAAATTTACACGAAGAGCATAATTGAAACACCATCTATATCAAAGCCATAATCATAGTGGGTTAATTTTACCTCTCACCATGAAATTCTATTTCTTATTTAATTAAGGTACCTATTCTTCGAACCCTTTTGCCATCTTAGGAATCACTATGAAACTCCTCGCTGACGTATTATTCACATCGAAGCCATACTCTCTGCACGCTGCTTTTACTCTAAAAAATTTGAATTTCTCTTTGAGTTCAGGGACCCATTTAACAACTGTTATTAACGCTATAGAAAGTACTATTCTCGAATACTCTATTTGAATTGCCAAAGTCAAGAGCGCGGACTGAAAACACCGTAATGGTGGTGAAATCTGCGCAGGCAGCTCTTTCATTTACCACAGGGATTTTTCACGGTTTCTCCAGTCAGACTGCTGTCTGTGGTTCTTTGTTGCGGAAGAACGTGTAACGAGAAGTTACAATGTTCGAGGGCTTTGCAACGTGCGCGGGGTAACCGCGGTTTATGCGTTTTATGGTTAATTAACTTCTTCGTCGGCCACTCGTCTCCTTTGTGAAAAATACTTGCGAAACACGACGTTTACGTTAGTCGTGCGCCGCGACGCTGTCGAGGTCGGGATATTCGTTGAACCTCTTCAGACTTGTCATCCAGCGTCAAATATACAGTATTTCCCTTTGTAAGGTGCAGCGAACAACTAACAGGATTATTTGTCGATCGAGGAAGACGAGGAAATTATCCTGGCCTGTGTAGGTGATTAAAGTAGAGTCTTATTTATCGAATGAGTATTTTATTGCGCCCTTGGTTGGTGTGCGAATGCCCAAAAATATATTCTTCGTAGTCTTATAGGGGCGTGTCATGGCGTTGCGGGTAGCTCCTTGGTCGAACTCCGATCCTGATGCACGAGCTTGGCGTTTAAGCAGTAGTATGTGTGTATAATACTTAAATCTCGGCGATATTTTCCTTGAGATTGGCCGAACAGCTGTTTCCTGCCAGAAGATGAGTGGTGACGGTGAAAGTTGTCCATACCTGTCAACATAACGTTCAAATTGAACGATTAGGTCACTGACAATTCGAGAAGATTTTGTTTAATTTATGTAGGGATTATTCTTTATTATATCCCTCGTGGATGAAGGTATAGAGGTTCGAGAGGTAACAATAACAGGTATATTTCAACTAAAATACTCTCAGGATTCTTACTCGAAAACTTCTCTCGCACCCTCTATACTCTCGCATATTCATTTTCTCTGATTGTAATTTATAATTTTTAAGAACATACCTCGACTTTCTCTGCTATAAGCAGTCCATTCAGTTGATCATCTTATATATGCCATTCATGGCCTTCCATAATATGCCCTTGCATTGTGCCGTAGTTACGCGTAATCCGTACTAAGTGCAAGTGAGTTAATATGAAACAGTCGACGAAAGAAATAAATATATACAATTTATAGAAAGTTCGAAATATATTGAAAATTTACATGAGATTGGAAATATCGTAAATTTCGTGCGTAGCTCTTAGCTTGGTATCGTCTTGCAAAGAAAAATCTTTGGAAAAGGATACCAATTACCAGGTCTCACCACGCGGAGGTGGCTACGCATCGAGACCCGACATGCGCCCTAGTGGCGCAGCCTACTGGCGCTACCTGTATCAATGGTACCCTAATCTAACTCGGAGCGAATTAAGTTAAAGTGACTCTACTGACACTTTATAAAATTTCGTGTCTTATCAAAGGGACTTCGATTCGGTATACTAAAATTTATTACTCTACTGTCGCAACGCTAAGATATTTCAACAGACTCTAATATTTCTAAGTTCCCACAAAATTGGGAAGCAAATATGAAAAACGCGAGCAAAGGAAAACTAAGTCAAAATCGCGACGCGCCCGAACGAATTCGCGATTATTCGAAAGACCGACTAGCCTACGAGACGTACTCCTGTGTACAAGACAACTTCGTGCCTCG